CGCTGCTCCAGGCCTCTGTTCGCCCCTCCCCGCTGCCCGCCAGGGTCTGCCTGCAGGGCGTTCAGCTGCCGGGCTCCGAGGGAGGGGCTGCGTCATTGCCCTGTCGATGCTGGGCTGGGGCACCCCCCCGCGGTCCAGAGCCAGGGGGAATGGCTGCACAGCAGTGAAGCGCTCAGTCAGGTGTCTGGTTGCAATAGAAACATACCCAAGGTGAGCAGCCTAAGCAAGCAGTCGGGCCTGGGAGCAGGGTAACCTGGCTCTTCCTCATTTCCCCCTCCTCTCAGCCTGTTCCATTACATCTCTGCTATGGAGAACAAAACTCTCCTTCCTGCAGTTTGGCTGTCATCCTCCACTCAGACCGCTCTCTACGTCCTCACACCTTGCAGATGCTTTCCGCATAACATAGCTAAGATACTGTCTCGCCTCTCTGTCTCATATCCTTTCAGAATGGTGCTGCAAAGATACCTTTCTAGCCTGTCACATTGATCATGTCACCTCTTTCTTATCCCACAACTGATTCCTTCTTCTCTATCATATCAAAAAACCTACTTGTCTGTACTTTCAAGGCCCTTCATTACACAGCCCTGCTATCTCTCAGTATAATAATGTCAGTTCCCACTGCTGATTGGCTCACAATTCCTGTCATCCATCTGTTAGTACCTTTATGTTTTCTTCCGTGCTGTGCCTCATGTTCGGGAAGCATTCCCTGTAATCATTCATAAAGCAACTTCATTATCCTTCTTCAGATTCCTTCTGGAAACTTTCCTTTGCCACAAAAAGCTTGACAAGGGGTAGGCTGGTGATATCTGAGACCACATCCTATCATACTGATTAGTATTTTACCATGGTTTTCTTTTATACCTCCATCAGTTCATCTGTATCTTTCTCTTGTCTTAATGCTTAGTCCCTGCCCCAAAGAGCTTACACTCCATCTCTGTTCTGTTTGCACAGCACAAGCACTGTGGCTTCCTGGTCCATGACTGCGGGCTCTTAGAGATCCAATTATACAAATAAAGATGCATCATTATTTTGTTATCCAGAAGGCATTGACTAAATAACAACTTGTTTACAAAGGACAGAATCAGTACAAAAGCCAAGTTTCAATACAAGTGCCATGTTTAAGCCCATTATGCGGCATGCAGTGATTTCCAGAAGCTAGAGCAGCCTAGATTTTATATACCAGCAGGTTATGGCTCTGATTCTGACAACCTTTTGTGTGTTACCATCATCATATAAATTATGAGAAAGAGTTATGAACCACTAATATTAAGGTTTTGCCAGTTCATAAAGAGATAGATACATCTTAAGAGGTTAAATACCTTGTGGTTACAGTTAGTTTGTCTTCATAATATCATGAAGCAACAGTGATGTCATAAAAGGTTGGCAAAGCCATCCTAAGCAGTGAGAGATTAACAGGACTGGCCTTTAATGTTATGTTTTTCAAAGCCTCAGTGGGATGCTTTCTTTCAGTGTTTAAAGAAATGTTGACCCGGAATCTTAGTTAACTTAAAATGCTGTCAGAGTCAAGAGAATAAAGCAAGGCATCGTGGGTGTCTAACTGCAGGATCCATATAAACAAGATGAATTTAATTGGGTAGCTACTGAAAATTTAGTCACTCCCATTCTATTCCCTGCTGCTTTCCTTAGTCAGATGTCATTCAGAAACCCCAACCTTATTTTTAGAACGTCTGAGTATTAGATAAATGTTTTACATGTATTGCTAAGACATTCAAAGTAGTCTAGAGAATTTAAACACACTTTTCTCTTTTGGTGGAAGATCAGTCCAAATTCTTCCAGCTGGTTATGCTGGTTATGTAGTGAGAGAGGGAGATGTATTTCCTAGTACTTTCTTGTCAGCAGCTGTGGAAAAATATATGTTCTAAGCTGTTGGGTTCTTGAGACATCCAATAAGTAGCTGTAGCTTATGGTTTTTGCTGTTTATTTGCTCACAGATGTTAGAGAAGAAACAGGTAACCCAGGAGCGGATGGGGTAAAAGGAACTGCACGTTTATCTTGGACATTCAACACAGTGTCCAAGTGGCCCCGAATTGGCAATAGTCAGAACCTTTTATCTATTTTAGTATGTTAATTCACACGTCTATCACTACTTTTCCTAAAACTTTATTTAGTAAGGTTAACTCCCATAAAATGAATATTAATAAGCAAATAATGAATACAATTATACCCACCCCTAATTACTATTTATATAATTTCTAATTGAATCAACAGTTTCCTATACTACAAATTAACATGTTACAGAGATTACAAGGAATTTGACCCTGAAGATGTTATGCAGAGCCAATGAGGATAAGCAAGAGACATAACAAAATAGAGCAACTCCATAGTTATCTAGTTTCCTAGGCTATGGAACAGAGAGAGAGAGAGAAAGAGCAAGTTTATATATATATCAAAACATAATACTGGTCTTGACTGGACCCTATCATCCCAAACTATGTTAAGGGTAACGCTGTGGCTAAATCCTGAACCACTAATGCAAAAAAGCCATTCCAAACCTATTAATTTTTACCCTCCACCAACAACAGATTCATGGGGTTGTCTACAAAGTGAGGTAATTTCTCTTAAATCTTTTCCCATAAATTTCTTCAGGAAGAGGAGACGGAATGGCAGTGAAGAAGATGGCCACATCCCACAGACAAAGCGTAGTACCAGAAATGCTGTTCTTCAGGACTCCTGGGACACTGAGGTGAGAGATTTTCCAATTAGATTCTGATTGACTTAATTTTGTAAGATGGAGTCATAACTGCAATGTGTATAATTGTATTAATGGAAATCAGCTAAGTAACAGTGATTTTTTTATGACATATCTTGAATATAAAATTTTGAGGCTTGAAGCACAATCAGCATGTTCTCCATTGCAGTTGATTATTTTTTAATGATTTTGTGTGTGTGTACTGTTTTATAACAATTAATTTACTTGAATTGGGTGTTGTACAAAATATATATTTTCAAAATGTGTTAAGCACTTCCCATTTAGAAAAGAGACATTTTCTGCCCCAGAGAGTTTATAGGCACACTATATGCAACACAATAGGGAAGACAACAAGGGAATAATTTGGTGGTAATGTATGGTAGCTCTGTCTGGCTAGACACACTACTTAGGATCGCAGAGTTTTTTTCTTGTTTATAACAAATGATTGAAAAGTAACGGAAAACTAATGAGCACTCTTCCCTGTGCTAATAGCCTGGTAAGTGTTATGATGCACAGTGTTCTTTAGTAAGCAGTGGTGTTCATTGGATATTTGCAAAGTACTATATGGGTGCCAAGTATTTCAGTTTTTTGTGGGGAGAGCTTTTTGTGGTTAACATGGGACTTGGACTTTAGCTATCTGGATACTCCTATCTCTGCCATGTACTTTGTGTGTGACATTGGGTGATTTCTTAACCTTTCTGTTCCTCAGTTTTGCCCATCAATAAGACATTGTTAACCCTAAGGCACGGTTAGAGTGAAAATTGAGGGTCAGTCCATTGAAGTCAATGGGAAGGCTTCCATTGATTTCAGTGGGTATTAGATAACATCCTAAATTAGTTGCTTTCATAGCACTTTGAGATCTGCACATGGACGTTGTTATGCAAGGGCTAAGTAATAACTTTCTAACTTTGAGACTTAGTTCCAATGCTTATTCCCAAAATAAACAAGTGGTGTCCAATGCTGCCTAAATTACTGTACATGTTGACACTGAGAAGCTAGTACAGATTGAACCTCTGTGGTCTAGGACTCTTTAGTCCAGCAAGATCTGTGGCCCATTAGGACCACGGATGTTGCTCGACCAAAGAGCCCCAGCCATAGAGGTTGCCAGCAGATGGGAACTCAGCTGGCAGGCAGCCTGGAGGGCCAGTGGCCTGGAGGGCCAGGAAGCCCAGCCAACTGCTGGAGCAGGAGGAGGCACGAGCCCTGCCAGCTGAGAGCAGAGCTCCGCCGGCAGGAACACGAAGCCCCTGGTGGCTGGGGGTGTGGATCTGCTGGAGGCCAGGGATAGGGATCCCCTACAGCCAGAGGCATGGAGCCACTGGCCGGGGACAGGGGAGGTGCAGAGCCTCCAGCCAGGCGTGGAGCCCCACCACAGGCTGGGGGCAGCACATTGGCCAGGCCGGTGGCCAGGAAGAGGCCTAGTCACTGGATGGGGGCCAGGAGGGGAGCCCTGGGAGAGCTCTACGCCTGACCTGCCCTGGTCCAGCAAACTCCCTCCTTCAAGACCACTCAACTGTATGTGCATTGCTGAATTGTAGTAACTTTCCCATTGCACATCTTTCCCAGTCTATTTGTAGTAGAGAGTTCCTCATGTTTGAGATGGTAACGAGAGTTTTCTAAATGTGTTCATGGAATCATGGTTGTGGGTGTGGGATTTTTCATGTGTACACCACTTATTGTTAAGCCTGGCTGTTTGTCATGGCAAAAAAAGAGAAGGTGTGTACATGTATTTCAATTAGTATAAGCTGCTAGCTTTGGTACTGTATTTTAACAATACAAAAAGTTGTGTGCTACATCATTTTAAGCAAAATACTGTTTATTTTATTGTCATGGCTCTAAACTATTTAATTTTAAAACAATATGAAAATTCATACCCCATCCGCCTATTTGGACTTACTTGTAAAAACTGGGGGACGGACGAGTCTTGCTGCTTAAAGGAGTGGCTGGTATGACAGACCATGACTTTATATGGAAAAAGTTTAACAAGTTGTTTGTCATGAAAGCCCTTGGCTGCTTTGACTATCCTTTTACTGGAAGTAAGACTTCCTGGGATGAGCTTGCCCTTTGGTTCTTGGATATAACAGCAGGGCACAAATATTGGCTTTCCATTTTTCACATTGAATCACTTATCCAACAGAAACTTCCAGGTGTGTTAAGCAGCTTCTGGCAAGCCAAGCTTTGTGGAGGGAGCAGGGGGGAAGCAGGAAATGGTGCTGGTGGAAGCCGGCTTAAAAGCTAGTTCCTCCCAGCACCGTCTCCATGGTGCTGCTTGCCTCTGTCAGTGGCCAGAGGCAGATTGGGAGGAGTGGGGGGAGCAGGGGAGGCTGCTATGAAGCAGCCTCTGCTGCAATGGGCCCAGGCTCACTGTGGGCAGAGGCTGCTCCGGCAGCAGCCCCTGTTCACAGTGGCCCGGGCTGTCCTTGGATAGGGGCTGCTTTGCTGCAGTTCCTGTCTACAGGTGATCCCAGCAGGGAACTGGGACTCTCCCTCTCCCCTGCCCCTCGGGGGGCAGGGGCTGCCGCCGGAGCAGCCTCTGAGCCTCTGCTGCAATGGGCCCAGGCTCACTGTGGGCAGAGGCTGCTCCGGCAGCAGCCCCTGTTCACAGTGGCCCGGGCTGTCCTTGGATAGGGGCTGCTTTGCTGCAGTTCCTGTCTACAGGTGATCCCAGCAGGGAACTGGGACTCTCCCTCTCCCCTGCCCCTCGGGGGGCAGGGGCTGCCGCCGGAGCAGCCTCTGTTCACAGTGGCCCGGGCTGTCCTTGGATAGGGGCTGCTTTGCTGCAGTTCCTGTCTACAGGTGATCCCAGCAGGGAACTGCTGCAATTTAAAAGGCAGTAGGAGCTGGGCAGCCTGCCCCCCAGCTCCTACTGCATTTTAAATTGCAGAGCCACAGAGGGGTTTGGTCTTGGATCTGGTGCGAGCCGGGACTGAGCCGGGCTGCCTTCCCTTAATGACTAATTGAACAGTGAGTATACATTCTGTGAACTACTTGATTCGTAAATGAACCTCATTTTAACATCCCTATTCCTGATGTTGTACAGAAGAAGTGTTTCTGCCTGGCAGCTCTGGCAGTAGACTTAAAAATCTCTCTGCCTATGTGATCTAAACTTCACAATTTCTATCACGGATGCATTCAGTTTATATAAGAAAATTAGATATTACTATTTCAGCATATTTCTAAAGACATCACATGGCAAGTTGTGAAATTGAATCTTGTGCTCAAGGTGCATGAAGATTCTTTATTTATATTGCTTTGACATATGGAGCTGACCATATGTAACATCTGTGCTTTGTAATTGACAAATTGCCATGAAAACAAGGCAACCTCTGCTCGATAGAACAGTTCCAGATGGCTGAATTTGGGGTTCACAAATGCACATATTAGAAAATAGCTACATTTAGGGCATTGTGCAAATGTTAAATCTTGGTTATTGCACTAGCACTCGGAATGCTATGACATGTTTTCTGTCCTGCTCAGGCGTGTGGTTTTGCATTAAGACTTTAACTTTGCTCCTTAGTCATACTAAAGATCTCCATTTATAAACTAGAAATTTGGGTCCTGCCTTCAGATGCACATGTGTATATTTTTGCCTCCTATATAGTCTGCTCTAGCACACACGGGTTTGCTCTGTGCTGTAGCTGATTTTGTAAGCTGCCTGGTGATGAGGCCACTTTAAGGGTTCCATCCTATACCACCCATAAACCCCTAATGATGAACAGAGTCATCAGCGAGAAGCAGCACTAAGAACTTGTTTCTCCTGAGGAAGAATGAGGATCTTCATTATTTCAGCTAATGTATGTTCCTTCCTTCATGAATAAGCTTTCGCTGTTGGACCATTAGGAAATGGGGTTTCTATAATTGGTTGGTCAGGCTGAGGACAGGATACCAGGTCGTTAGACCTTGCTCCATCAGCTGAGCGAGTTACTGTGTTATGACTTGCTTTGAGAGCCTGAACATGGTTCTGCCAAGCACTGCAGGTAGGGTAGCTCCCCCAAACGTTCTGTGGTAAGGGAGGTCTCTCCAGCTCTTTATTGTGATCCCACATGATGTATGAAGGCCTATTCCCAAACTTGTCTCAGACTCAGAGAATAATGGTCTAAATCAGGGATTCTCACAACAGAAATCATGGTGGTCTCAATCTTGCTCTGACCACTTTTCCTAAAATACTTTATGGGGGAAAATGCACACACGTGTCCAAATCGTTGTGTATTTAGGTAGGGTCTTTTTGCAGACTTAATAACATCATGTCCAGTTCTCTCTGTTCTTTACTGCAGTGGCTCTCCACCTTTCCAAACTACTCTTCCCCTTTCAGAAATCTGATTTGTCTTGCAGACCCCAAGTTTCACTTCACTCAAACTACTTGCTTACAAAATCAGATACATGCAGGAGTTTCACTGCACACTATCACTGAAAAATTGCTTACTTTCTCATTGTTACCATAGATTTATAAACTAAATTGATTGGAATATAAATGTACTTTCATTTTAGTGCATAATATGTAGAGCAGTATAAACAAGTCATTGCTTATATGACCTCTTTAGTTGGTACTTTGCTAATGCTTTTTGTGTAGCCCATTGTAAAACTAGGCAAATATCTAGATGAGTTGATGTATCCCCTGGAAGACCCTGTACTCCAAAGGGACACGTACCCCTCGTTGAGGACCACTGCTTTAACAGACTTAAACAGTATAGAAACACATAAGGTGCTTGCATGTTCTTGGGTTTTTTTTGTTTTTCATTTTTAGACTAGTTGACTAGTAAATCTGTTTCTGTGAACAGTGTTTTGTTAATGCCTCTTTTCAAAGCACAGACTTGCAAGCCAGATGGGAGGCAGTGAAAAGAGAAAGTAACAAAAATACAAATACAGGAGGCCTCCGACCTGTGACCACCAGAGTGTTCCAACCCCCCGCACTTACAGCCATTTTTGTAAGTGCAGAAGGGGCCGGAAACCCCGACTTTTGTCCTCAGCCTGCATTTACGGCAGGTGCATGGCGCCTATCGTAAATGAGGGTTCGAGTTATGACGCTCCCGGCTTGCGACGCTTCCCCAGGAATGGATCGCGTCGCAAATCGGGGGCCTCCTATATCACTTTTCACAATACTTAGCTTTGGCAAGCTGGGAGACAAATTAAGCTCTGCATGAGGAGATGGGTAGGGAGGCAGCAGAGACCTGGAGGGATGGATGGGGAGGCAGCAGGAAGCTGCAGGGGTGAGCCTGGGGCCCGGAGTCCTTTCTGCACCCGGCACCAGAAATGAATACGTGTGTAGGTGAGCCTGGGACCAGCACCTGCCACCACATAGCTGGGGGATGGAGCGTGTGGCTGAAACCTGGATGCAGCCAGAGTCTCGAGCCAGCACACGTGGCCAAAGGCAGTGTGTGTGTGAAGGGGTGAGTCCGAAGCTCCACTGCCGTGGTCAGAGCCTGCAGCCCCCATGCTGAAGGGGAAGCCCCCTTGTCCCTGGGAGAGTGGGGATCTCTCATTAGTTGCCTGCTTCTCAATGGGTTGGGGGACCAGGGCAACCCCTGCCGGTGGCCCTGGGGGAGATCCACTGCTCCTTGCCGCTCAGCTGTGGCTGCACAAAAAGCTCTTGGTGGCCATGTGTAACCTCGGTGTCCACGTTTGAGAAACACTGGTCTAACTGGCTGTATGCTTTGCTTGGTGCTCCATTACAGAACAGCAAAACAAGCCCACACGCTTGACTGATCTCTTGTGTTCCAGTTCTGTTTTTGTAATTGTAGCTGAACTGAAGCATTGTAGCTACTTGGTGTATGTACTAGTAAAGTGGGGTAGATGTGACAGATGAATTTTGAAGATTCCCTTCAATACTGAAGATGTTTGAAATCCTTTTCCTTGATCTTGCCTTTGATATCCATCTATTGTTGGGTAGATAATTATGATTTCAGCAGTGATCTTAAAAAGGACCGTATGTGCCTAATTATGGTCCTCTTTCAATAGAAGAATTTACAACTGTTTGTTAACAAGGTACGTCTTCAATGTGATTTGGGCAATAAAGAGCTTCACATTTTGTATCCGTTCAAATAAACAGAGAACTGTTTGACTGAGACACCTGTAAACAGCCTTAGAGGTAGGAAACGCGTCCCAGGACACAAGCTATGTCACATTTTCACTTAATAGTTACAATTAGAAAGCTTTTAGAGACTGGAAACTATATTCAGTCAGTACTAAAAAGTGTGTTCTGTTATGACTTAAAAATTTAAGTATTACTACTAAGTACTGATCATAGTTTTTACCTTGATTTTCAGAAGGTGCCTGTAACGAAAAACTGTAAGGAAAGCAGGATAAACGAAAACAAAGTGTCCTGTGCGGTGGGTTTCTCTCCAAGGCTGCTGTAATTTTATGAGTGTAAAAGTGCACAGTTTATATTTTATGCATTAAGTAATTTATGAAAAATGAGGTGACTTAGCAAATGTGAATTAATGACCACTATGTGCCCTTCTTGTGTAATCTCTGCCTCTGTATAACAGCTGTAGGAAAAACAGCCAGTCGTTCATACAGCATTGACTGTTTATTGTATTCTTAACAAAGGAAGTTTGAAATACCTTTTTAGTTGACCTGGTGAATTCTATTGCTCAGTGGTCTTGCACTGATTTCAAATGCCCATAATTCAGACTCACCGTTTCTATCAGCCTCAGCTTTGTGTTCTTGTTTTATTTTATTATTAATTATTATTATTATTATTATAATAGTTGACCTAAAAAAGCAAAATGGAATCGCTTGCTGTTATGGTGCAATAATTAAAACCTGTTATATAAATCGATTTTTCTACACTCTGCTTAACTAGTTTGGTGTCATGGTCCATGTCAAATGCTTGCTTTCATTAGCAATCTGATGAGCATGGATATTTTTGGCTGATTTTTGGAAGTGGTTTCTGTTGCAGTCTGGTCTGGTCTGATCTGATCTGTGAGCATGCATTGCTCCAGATCCTAGGGTAAACCCTTCAGTGTACTCTTTCTTCGGTAGTAGATTCTTTCAAGGGGATGTACTGAGGCTTTGCCTACTTTGAGAGTACAAACATACAGTTGTTAGGGATGTAAAATCCCATTTAATTCACATCCCTACTGGATGTATCTTATTGGGCTTGCTTCTGATCAATATAATTGCTGCTGACTGTTCTTAAGAAACAGTACTCTGCCAAAAAAATGCATAATGGCTGCCAAATTTTGATTTATATAATACACACATTACTTGTATGATGGTGCCTCATACAAAAAGCTGAAGTGGCCTTGTATTCAAACTAGAAGTTGGAGGATAAGATGGGATTTGTTACAGAGAGATGTATATATTTGCAAACATTTCTCTTCCTTTTGGCCAAAGTAATGTATGCTAAGGTAAAGGTATGCTATCAGATGAAAACTTTTTTTATAAATTACTGAAAAAAATTACTAACAATAACCATAGATTAAAGTCTACTCTATAATGCTCACTTCTTAAATTTAATTCTCAGTGGATGGTAAATTAACTGTTTTCACTTTCAGATTCTCAAGCCCTTAGCACAATGTCAGTGTGAACACTACATGAGAATAGCAAAACAGGAAACTGTTTAAAACAAAAACAAATCAATTAAAACATTAGTTATCCTTAAACTTGTTTAGCCTAAACCACTTGGGCTACGTCTTCATTGTGAGTTCTTCCAGCAAAAAATATGCTAATGAGGGACTCAGCATAATTTGCAATCTCTCCGGGACAGACATAAGGATCTTGCAGAAAACGGTTTTTTTGCACAAAAAAGTCCACACTGCTGTTTTTTGCTCAAAAACAAATGGCAGAAATTATGCTAATGAGATTGCAATTTATGCTAATGAGTCCCTCAGCATATTTTCTGCTGGAAGAACTTGCTGTGAAGATGAAGCCTTGATGTCTTTTTGGAACACCAAAAATAAGCTGTGTGCGTGTGGAATACTGAAAATACTTTATTGGTGTCATGACCATTAAAACCACGTACACATTTTATTCTGGTTACAGAGAAAAAAACCTGTCCTCTTATGCAAGCTAAATCATGAGTTCTGTCTTGCTTTCTGCATGAGTGATTTAGGGGCTTGCTGTTTATTGTAGCCTTGAGGTGTTTGGGTAAACGTTTCCCACTGCAGTATAAAATGCATTATGTTGCAGAAAACTAAGTACAGGCTGGACCTTGCTGGTCCAGCATCCTTGGGATCTGACTGGTCCCGGATGAGGGATTTTGCCGGACCAGGGGAGGAACCGCTCCACTGCTGCTGGCTCCCACCCCTGGCCCAGCCCGCTGGCGTCTTAGCTGGCTCTTCACCTCCTGCTGGGCAGCCACATGTGCAGTGCTGGGGCTCCAGGTCCCACAGGGAAGCTGCGTGCATGTCTCCCATCTCCACTGGGCAGACCTGCCATCAGCTAGCTGTGGGCAGCCTAATGCCCTGCCAGCCCCGCAGGGAGCCTTGCTACTGACCCTCCTCTGGGATTCTCTAGTCCTCCAACATCTGTGCCAGACCATGGAGATTGCCAGACCAGAGAATCCTGGTTAAGTGTGTCAATCTGTACCTGGTAGGGATGTGAATGGTTAACCAGTAAGGGCTGAGGCGGCTCCTATCTGCAGTGAAGGGAAGGGGGCGCTCTAGCCTGTCCACAGTGTTGGAATGGCCCCCCTGCCCTCCTCCCCTTTAATCGGTTAGATGGTCAAACATTACATTTGACTGGCTAACCCATTAAACAGGTTTTTACATCCCTAGTTCCAGGACAGAAATCTAACTTGCAAATGGAATGGAAACGTATACCCTGTTGCTTATGGTCCCATGACAATTTGGGTGTTTTGTGTCCTATGCGCTTTGTGTGATGTGCATAGCTGTTCTGAACTTGCTTACTGACAAATGAAAAAAAGTGTGTGTGTGTGGGGAGGAGGGGGTGGATTTTATGAAACTTTACACCTTACTCTAGAGATTTGTAAAATTTACTAAAATCCTGTTCTCATTTCCAGTTCTTAGCAGACCAAAATTTAATTAAAATTCACTTGTGCTAACACAAGTAATGGGATGAAGTCTGAAGTCCTGATTATAAATAACTGTTAACCTGCAGTTTTCCGTAAGTTGGGTCAAACAGCCCTAGTGAATAGTGGACACAATTAATTGCACATCACCTGGGCTTCCTGAAATGTCTTTGGACTGACCCTCATTAAAACAGCTGGATGTGCTTTCTTGGCATTCAGTAGATTTATTTATCAATTGTCCAGACTACAGGTGATCTATGAAACTCTGTGGGAGGGAAATACTGAGAAGAATTCTTGCTTAAGCTGTAAAAATATGCATAGGAGGGGAAAAAAAAAAAGCATTACCTTCCTGTTAACTTTCTCTTTGTTTCATAGTCCTCCAGCAGCGATAGCAGCAGCAGTTGCAGTAGCAGTAGTATCAACAGCCCTGACAGAGGAAGCGGTCCAGAAACCAGCTTAAACCAGATACTTGCAGCATCCAGTCCTGTCACCCCCCCATCCTTCCATGAGCAGTCTGCACTAAGTCAAGGTCCTTACTTCCACATCAACCAGATCCTGAAGGAGGCACACTTTCACAGCTTACAGAACCGTGGACGCCCTCCTACATGATGAACCAGCAGTTCCTTGCCTTCTGTGAAGGGACAGCACTGTGTAGATTTGATATTTCAACTTAAAAGTTTGTTAAAATTGCACAAAACGCCTGTTGCCTTTTCAGTCTATATTTGAAATAACAGGTTAACAGGAAATTGTTTACTTGTGGTTTGCTGCACTATTGCAATGCAAAAGGGGCTTTGAAGCAATTTTTATAGGATTATTTTTGGGGTGGGTGTCAAATACATGTACAATGAGTCCGAGGAACCCACATCTGTATTATAGGCGTGCATAATGAGTCCAATTCAGATTGACTGCCTAATCTGTTAGTTAGCAACTGTTGCTTTATGTAAAGTCCTTTCAAACGTTCATCTTCAGTTTTATAAATCTTTTTTAATTTCAATAAACTAGTAACCTAGTTTCCATGGTCAAGTATTATTTGCAAAGCTGGAGAGTAGATAAAGGGACACTCGCTGCAAATGTCTAGTGGTATTGGTATCACCCAAGATCACTAACTGGAGAACTTCCTGTGCAGTGTAGTGAGCTGGGCCTACTAAACTTTACCTTTAGTCCTCCACACAGCGGTAAGACAAACAGTTCTTCTCAAGAACTATAAAGAAAACTTAGATGAAACTTCAGCATGAAGCCAAGGTAGCAGCAGCTTCCCCCCTTGAGACAGGAGGCGTTGGGCATTTTCAGAGAGCATGCCACAGTACTCTGAGGCTATGTCTACACTGACATGATTGTGCGCAAGAATGCCACAGTACTCTGAGGCTATGTCTACACTGCCATGATTGTGCGCAAGAACTTGTGCAGAAGAGAGCGTCTACACTGGCATGTGCTTTTGCGCAAGAGCATCCATATCAGTGTAGAAAGCTCTGATGGCCATTTTAACCATAGAGCTTTATTGCACAAGAAATTCATGTCGCCTGTCTTCACTGGCCTCTTGTGCAAGAACAGTTGTGCAAGAGGGCTTATTCCTGAGTGGGAGCATCATATTTCTTGCGCAAGAAGCACTGATTTCATACATTAGAACGTCAGTGTTCTTGCGCTAGAACTCGTGGCCAGTGTAGACAGGCAGCAAGTTTCTGCGCAAAAGGGGCTGCTTTTGCGCAAGATTGTGCCAATGTAGACACAGCCTGAGATACACAGCAAAAGGGAAAGCTGAACTTCGCAGTCCACTCCTTCTCTTACCCAGCCTTAAGTGATAAAGCTTTGAGAAGAGGAGAAAAGGGTGAGTGTATGGTCACACTGCCATCTCTTAACCTACTCCTAGTTTAAACAATGGCATAACCACTCTCCGGTTGCTAGGGCGAAGGGATAAGGGCATGTGGTCTTAGAAACTAATCCTGAACAGGTTCGCCAGTACAGGTATGGGAGAATGTGTTCTCAGTGGAAATGAATGTGTAGACAAGCTTGAGTATTTCATCTTTTTATTAGGTCACTTGGTCATGCTAGAAAGCCAACCTAATTTGAACAGAGATGGTGTAGCAGTGTCTCCCTCCTCCGTTGCAAGCTGTCTGAACAAGGAACCAGGGCGGAATGTTTCTTCTGCTGTGATGACTGAAGGAGGTGGAACCTGTTTTTTTAAAATGAGAGACTCAGTGACTGCAGTAGCACCACTTACATTGATTCCACACACAGCCCGGTGTTAGCAACTGCAGGGAGGCACAGTAAGGTAAAAGAATCAGGAACTTAATTGAGTTGGAACCAAGTCCAGCCTGAACCCCTGCTTCTCCCACTACATATGCAGCATTACTCAGCCTTATGATCCCTTTCTAGTAGATTTCTAGTACTTCAGGTGGCTACTTCCATTTTCTCCCTTGCTTTAAAAATGAGCAAAAACCTACTCTTGTTGCTTTTATACATAGACAACAGTTTAAGTACTCTACAATTGTACATGATTCACTACATAGGTGGTGAGAGCGTATTTGCTAGCCCTTCAGAGAAGGGGCTTTCTATGTAACTAGATAGACATGCATCACTGCAGCCACCACTAGTAACACAGGCAGACCGGGAAGACACATCACTGTTTCTAAACTACACAAGCTATCCTGAGGCCAAGAGGTCCAGAATACCCTTTTAAAAGCTGATTTACACAAAAAGTGAAGTAGCAGAATGCAATAGGTTGGCCCCCTTTTAGGTAACTATCCCTACTCTTATACAAGAGCAGGGGATCTTTACTGGGCCATACTGAGATACAGGTTCAGGGAGTGCATTTAGAAATACCACTTCCTGTAGCAGGTAGGTATTCCTTAGCTCTCCCAGTCCTCAGCACAGAAGCCTCGTCTAAACAGGCATTTAAGCTGTGGGACATATGTACCACTGTACACATTTCATGTTAATACAGAGCAACTGGTAAACATTATAAATGCCACTTTAGGTGAAGCAAGCCACTCAGAATGCACACAAGCTTAAGTACCCAAGCAAGATTTCTTCAGGAGTACGGGTCACCATCACACTGGAATGAAGTTTATAAAATAGTTAGATAGCATCCATTAATGGTTGAACATTCCTCTTCTGCTTCTCTTAAATACAGATGGAGAAGCCAAGTTTTAAATCATCAGTGGTAGCATCCATTAATGGTTGAACATTCCTCTGCAGCTTCTCTTAAATACAGATGGAGAAGCGAAGTTTTAAATCATCAGTGCATCAACTGTGTTATCAGTGCACTTCATGGTCTGACAGCTGGGAGCCTGGGGCCTGAGGCACAATCTAGGCATTCGGGGCTATCAGTTGCTTTTAGCCTTTGGCAAATTAGCTCATTTTTGCAAGCAATCAGGTTCTTTAAAAGGGGAATTTCTAACATGCAAAGCTACTGTGAGGATTACGATTTGTACAGTACTTTCCCAAAAAGGACTTCTCTTAAAAGGGACTGCTGACATATTTGCTCAACCCATTCTTCCTTCTTTAGGATCCCTGAACTAAGTTCTTGTTGCTCTTTTTTTTTTTTAATTTTAATTATCCTCCTTAACCCTAGGACACTTACAAGAGGCTCCTTTCAGACCTGGTAACACAGTAGGGACGTGGGGTAAAATTAGGATAGTTTATAACAATTTTACTAACCTGAGTTGGATTTTCTGTGGTTTTAACAGCAGATTTAGTCTTTCGAGAACTTGACATACTCAGTGGTAGAAGTCCAAATCTTCGAGAGAGATGACAGTTAAATGAAGTCAGTCATACAGAACTATCAATTCAAGACAATTGCTTTCTAAGAAGTAGTATGTGTATAACTGAGCCGCTTACCTGATTTGACTAGATGCTAATGGCAAGATATTGTGAGGCTCCTGGGAGCTCAGATGATTGCTTCTATTGGTATACTGATTCTCTGCCCCCGTTAGTAAGCCAAACAGGACCTAGACAACAGGAAATAAGTGTTGGGGTTTTTTTTTCTGGTGGTTGAGGATTCCGTTAAACAGCAACAGCGCAAGGAGCAAGAAGCCCCTGCTTATACAGAGAAGCCCTCAAATACACACACAATTGTTTTTGATGTAATGCTGACTCGGTTTCCTCCAACTAGCTTAGATTTTTACATTTCAGTCTTGCCCCCCCAGACGGGGCTGCTGCCACCCTGCGCTGCTGCCTCTGTATCAGAGGCAACAGCACAGGGTGACAAGCAGCTGGTTCCTGAGGGGCGCTGTTTTTTAAACAGGACCAGCTCTTGCCAGGCACTCCACATTGTTGACTCTGATACAGAGGTAGCAGCGTGGAATGGCGGGCTCCTTGGGAGTGGGGCCAGTGCGCACTGTCGTCTGGCCCTGCCCCCAAGCAGTATAGAATAGTTGAGAAAACGATAAGAATTCATGAGGTTACTTAACTGTTAAATTAACCAATATTCCCTAGCGCGTAGGCCAATAGTTAGCTACTGTTGAACCGTGTAACAAAGAAGCGCGTAGGCCAATAGTTAGCTACTGTTTCTTTGTTACACGGTTCAATGATCGGCCTGCCTGGTAACTCTACAGTAGACTAGGGCAGCAAACAGGTTTTGCAATGTTTACTTCCGCTAGAGGATTGCTTTCCCTCAACTTACTGAGGTTCGTTGCACCAGGCGGTTAAGGCCGCTGTTTAAATGTGGAGTGAAAACATCCAAGTCAAACGGATCAATGTTGGCTTCTAAGAAGTCTGTCACCTTCTCAATCCTACAACAGGCCCAAAAAAATCCCAATTACGTTCCTCCTATTAAAGCAGATTTACAAGGCGGACAAAAGCTGATGATGGGGCAAATGGAAACTGTGCTGTTGCCAGGGTCCCTCAAACAAAGCTGCTCCCCTCTCAGCTGACCTGTGTCTCAGGACAAGCAGGTGGCACAAATCAGAGGAGCAGCAGTTGTCAGTTTTACCAGGCTTCCCCTAGTTCATTGGAACAGGGGAAAACTTGCATTTAATTAGCCTCCTATTGTGTCACTTAACTGTGGCAGGGACGAGGTGAAAGGGTTTTGAAGGCTTTTCTATTCCTGTTTACAAAACGTTCCTGGAGAGGAAGCCATCTGTTCTGAAGTGCTGGAGATGGGTTTGTGCTCCTGGCCTTCTGCTTCACAAACCTGCTGCTAAACAGGTGCCTCGTTTCTAAAAATAAGATTAATCAAGACTACTTCGAGAGGCAGAAGAGTTTTCTGGAGGCATCTGTTAGAGATATAAGATCTACCCTAATAGAGGGGACCGGTTGGTGTGGCTCAGCTCCAATACTCCACCTGCATCCCACTCTTCCATTTTTAGACTGCTTAGAGCTGGGGAAAAGATACTGGAGCCTTCCTTCTATGGGACAGGAACATGACAGGTAGAGGCAGACACATCAGTGCCCCACATGCTGCCCTGAAAGGCTTCTAGCTTGCTCTGATGGATTTGGGTAGGTGGCTTCTGTCCTATAGCAAGACCAAAAGAGCCACTAAGTTGTGGTTGTGGGTGAGGAAGGAGGATGTCACCAGTGGACTGACTTTGCTTTAAACACTGAACAGCCTCTCTTGTATTTGACTTAGGACACTGGCGGTACCTGGAGTCCTGCTTGCTCCTGCTGGCTTTTGCTTCCTCACTCTTAGCTGTTAGGACTATATTCAAATAGCGTAGATCATAGAGCAGCTGCAGCGCCCTGTTCTGAGTCATTGGGAATGACCCTTTCTGCAAGGAAGACAGAGGGGTACATTTCAACATTCTCTTCATAACGATTTCCAAAGGTGTTTTGAAGACAGAACAAACAAATTACTTGGATATCAATAAGCAGCAGGCTTCAGACAAACAGTTCAGATAGCTACCCTATGTCACATCCTCTTTGTGTGCTGTCTTTTACCGTAAGTTCTACAGGGCATGCTGTCTTGTTTGTGAAGTGCCATGAACGTATTAGTTCTAACAGTGCCAAAGGCTTCTGGACATATTAGCAAAGCAGCATCGAAAAGCAATGACCAAACCAGACATGCCAAGTATCTCCTGGAGCAGAAGAAAAGATCAAGGATGTAGTGACACACGGACTAGACAAAGAAAGCACTTGCTTCAGTTTCTCAAACTGAATATACAGAAGATCTTCTGTCTTGTCTGCATTACTATAGTAACACCACCACCCCCTGAGAACTGCAGCCATCTCTACTAGCATCATACTAATGGGAAAAGTGAGACCTTACAAAGGTCTGTTTCCCTTTCGAGGCCTGTGTTGACCATCTAGGCAGACAGGTGGAAGCGTGCAACCCACTACTTCCCTTCCCTGCATAGACTCTCAAGGGGTTACGGCACTTTATAGTCTCAAAATCCATGAAAGGGAGGCTTGGTTGGGGAAACGGAGGCACTGGCATGTAGAGATGTGGCATAGAGCCAGATCCCAGTCTAGGGCGAGGCCCCACAATGCATATTCACATTTCTGGGGGCTTCTCGGCGGTGAATTTTTGTAGGGCTCCCTGGCCAGCAGGAAAGATTGACTAATAGCAATGGCACTTGCAGACCCCTTTTAGCACACCCTTAAATCCAGCAGTTTGTCCCGGAGTGGAGAATGAAATCCCAGTTACAAACCTTTTCCTGCTTCTCTTCGACAAGCTTCTCGTAGCCAGCCAGCACTTCTGCCAGGCACGTCTTCAGCAGCAGCTGCAAGGTACGCTTTGGCAGAGCATGGCCTCCAACCCGGTTGACTTCTTGACACAAACTGAACAGGAGGCATTGAACATACCAGGATGGCTGTGGGGGTGGGGAGAAAAAAAAAAACCAATGAAAGGAGATATGGTCCTGACCTTTCTGTAGGGGATGTTGGCACGATCAAGGAAGTAAGATGAGCTCTGAATTCTGGGTTTCCCCTGGTATCATTTCCCTCTTCTCCATCGCCTCCCATGGTTCTCTCCTCACAGTACCCTGCCCCAGTGGTCCTATCCTGACCTATCTCCTTACTTTTATTAGCCCTGGACGTATCCTTTCCCTCTCACTTTCCTCTGGCTCTTCCCTTGTGCAGCATGTCTTGGTCTCCACAGCCTCCAACCCATCTGTTAGTCCTAGCTGCCTTGCCAGCTATCATCCCTTCCACGCGAATATCATTAAGTGTGCAATTTACAACCAATGCTCTGATTTCTCTTCTAGCCCTGCCTTGTGGTCCTTCCAGACAGGCGCCTAACTTGCTTTTGCTGCATGGAAACGGGTGTCATTCTGGTCTTCAGTTACCTCTTCTTGGCCAAATCTCAGGGCTTCTACTCTACTCTCATCCTACTTGGGCTGCTGCTCAGCCCCTCTTTCCTGACCTCTTACACACAATGGGGTTTTGAGATACTGTCCTCTCTTGGTGGGCTCAGCTCTTCTCCTATGGCTTTTTC